TTCCTATTTCAAATTCATACAATTTCGAATTTAGAATTAACATCTTCAATGATTTTATTTTATTAGTCTGTCAATACAAAGAGGTTGAATGGTTTTTATAAAATACACCTGACCGTTAGATTAGAAAATTGATACGTAAAAAACTGTTATCAATTCTAATATGTATTCTCTTGCATACGAATCGAATTCTAACTATCGCCTTTAAAAAAAAGTTAAACAAAAAACTTCCAATTTCAAACATAACCGAATACAGATAAAATAAAATCACGACATTACAATATATTCTATATAGGAGAAAATAAAAAGTAAAAGTGATTTTATAAAATAAAATGTTACACTATGTACCAAACAAACCAGTTCTGAACGCGTCTGATTTATGAGAAACCAATACTACATCCTCCATCGGTCATCACACTCGTCATGAAAAACGGATTATAACATTTAATATCTACACGGAATAGACATTGAGGCTTTGATTGAGTTGTACAGATAATAAAAATAAATTAAATAATAACTATTATCTATCCTTCAAATAAAATATGATTTTTTTTAAATATTAATAATTGTATGGCATATGATAAAATTCAGAGGCATATGTTTTTTCCATTCAGCCAATATCATGACCTAATGGAGATATACAGGGTGACTGGTGAATTACTATCGATACTTGAGGACGTGATATTTGACGATCATATATGACAAAATAAAAATTAATATAACATAAATATTAATAAACTTCTAAGTAAAGTTAACCAAAAGTTATGTAATTAATTACGCATCGTGTGAACACCCTACAGATTATGTAAACACATACACACACACATACGCGTGCGAAGGCGTAGTGTTGTATCAGCACGCCACCGTACGCGTCCACACTTGGAACACTTGGAATGTGTCCGCACTTTATTTATTTATACGGAAATTTGGTCAAAAATTAAGTACCTATTTTTTTTAACATAATTCGAATGAGAATCATGTACCGAGTATTCTCCTTAAATATTGATAGTAATTCACCAGTCACCCTGTATATTTCACAAATTATAGACGTCCCTAAAATTTTAAGGTTCGTCGATTCCAATATTATAATTTCTTGGAAACGTCATCCGTAATGATACAGGCACGTGTGTTCATTACTGAGTATTGTGATCTATGACGTCACTAATCAAACGAATGATGACGTCATATCGACTGTGAAATTTGATACTCGATAGCAAAATTATTTGGTATACCGTTCTATGAGATTGCTGATACTTTATTTATAGCTAGCTTCTAACCGCGACTCCGCTTGCGTTTTCAGATTTGAACTAAACAATTCTCAATTTTAGAGACAGAACAACAATAATTCTTTGTCTTAATCTATAACTACTGTAAAAAGACATCAGAAATTACATATAAAGGCTGTTCATACATTGATGTGGAATCCCTACTAATATTATAAATGCGAAAGTAACTCTGTCGGTCTCTCTGTTACGCTTTCACGCCTAAACTATTGAACTGATTTTAATGAAATTTAGTACAGATATACAGTTGACCTTGAGAAAGAACATAGGATAGCTATTAACCCAGACTTTTGAAAGGTTCTCTTGGAAACGCGATATAACCGAACTCCACGCGGGCGAAGCTGCGGACGGAAAGTTAGTATCACTAATATACCTATATGTTTATCTTGTATTCATAAAGCTAATATGTAAACTGATTTTCGAAAGCAACTTCATCTTATAAATATATACATTTTTATCAATAAATGGTCGTCGTATAGTCGAATGCAGGACCACCAATGGTAAGTACAAGGTATACCCGGATAAGCTCTGTACAAGGATAGCAATTTTTTCTAAGAACTATTGTGTTTACTTAATATATAGCAATTCAACAATTTAAACCAAGCTAATGACATAATACGTCACTCGTGATAGAACCGGCTTAGAGACTAATATAGTGAGTCATTGAAACGTATTTGGAGTTTTTAAAACATCGATTAATTGTACCTAATCTGTAGGGTGTTCACACGATGCGTAATTAATTACATAACTTTTGGTTAACTTTACTAGAAGTTTATTGATATTTATGTTATATTAATTTTTATTTTGTCATATATGATCGTCAAAATATATCACGTCCTCAAGTATCGATAGTAATTCACCAGTCACCCTGTATATGAACAATCAATTTTATACAGGATAATATAAATAAAATTATAATTATAAAATATATTAAAATATATCAAGGCTATCATATTAATTTCCATATAATAAATAATAGTTTAAATTTTTGTGTTATATAGAGGTGTTATAAAAGTGTGACGTCACTATGTTATATACGTATTATATTTTTATAAGTGTCGATAATAGCTAAAAAATCGGTAGAGAAAAGTTACAAAAAATATTGATAACAAATTCAACATTAAAAAATTTTAAATACTTCAAAACGAAGCAGTTACTGTATGAATACATACACACACACACACACACACACACACACACACACACACACACACACACACACACACACACACAAACATTCATACACACATTCTCAAGTCTTGTTAAGCACATTATACATAAAGATAACAGTACCTACTAATTGCACTCGCTATCAAAATCTACATAATATATAGGTATTGAAAATCGTAATTCACGGAAATATTAACTTTACCCCTAGTAAGGCTTATCAATGTACACCTGGACACTATCAGTTTGGAAGTTTTTTTTCATATGAATTTTTCGAATCACCAATAATAAGTGATAAACCTAAGTATTGGTTTATGGCAATGAGAACTTTCTATGTAATAAATGTCATTGATACACAATTATGTATGGAAAAAATAAAATTATTATGACATATGTACATATTAATAATTCATTACGATAACGTTCAACCAAAGAGTATTTTTGTCATTTATAAAGAGCTTATTTTGAACAATTTATTTGAGTGAATGTTACGAATTATGCAGTTGTAAAGCTTTTATGATGATTGAAATCATTGTTTTTCATTCAATCATTCATTCATTTTACACTGAACAATGAATATTCATTTAATCTTTATTACTCCGTTTTACGTTAAATTCAATTCCATTGAAATTCTACTATTCGATTTCAGATTGGTTCCAATTATTGTGAATCACATATATTTAGATATTATAAACCTACATTTCAAATAAATCACATAAAATTAAACATTAAATTCATATCATACTTATTAATATGAATTAATAATGCTTTAATAAAACCATGTCTTTTTCGTAATCGCTTGAAAATCTTGAGTGACATTTCTTATATAAAATGGAGGGAAAAAATTGTTATAAAAACCTCAAGTCATATAACTTAAAAAAAATCCATGTCATTATATGAATATCATCATTTTAAAACGAGACAATTATTTCGTATTAAACCTCCAAGAACACTCGACATTCAGTAAAAACTGTATAAAAATCATATTCATTACTATATAATGTCTAGCAAAAAACGTTCATTTAATATGATTTCTAAACGTCATATAAACAACAGATAAATAATATACATATATTATTTAATACATTTGTAATTTGAAATGATTAAATAAAAAATATCTCATGTTTATGCATGTACATTTTATCTTATAAATATTTCATAAAGTATTAATCTCAAGAATGTTAGCATCGTACTAAATGCAGCGAAATAATATAATGTAAATGGCGGGAAAAATTCAACGACAGCCATCTTTATGACATGGTTGTAAAGAAGCCGTAGGAAAGAATGTTTCATAGGAATATATGTTTCAGGTATTAGTGACAATTATCCATTTAGTGTGACAGAGGGCGTGGGCGTCGGATAGTGTGACTAGGAGCTAAGTAGCAATCAACAATTCTTGGAAGCTTAGATGTTTTCGCTCAGGTGGAACACGTGACAATCAAAACATATGATGTTTTTTTTTTATTTAGACTAATGGCATCTGAAGTTACACTGCCAGTTTTTTTTTTTTTTTAATTTAAAAGGCCTTCAGTTGAAGTTATACTGACACTTGTATTCTATTCTAATAAAAATGAACTAAATTTAAAATGATACCAATAGTTTGGTATTTATTTATTCATTGTTACATTATTAGTTTAATAGACCAAGGTTAGTACTTGCCACTCATAAACGCAGTACTTAAGATATGTTAATGCACTAGCATAATTTTTACATTATACATATATAAACATATACAATCATCGTAATTGCTATTTGAAGAAGTGGGCCGGGAGAACAATTATACATATATATGTTCTATTAAAAGAAGCGAATAAAACAACGTGGCATTCGTTTCTCAGAAATTTATATAAGAAACTGAGGAAATAATAAAATGTATATATGTTTTGAATTAATATAATGAGTTGATATTATTTTTCTGAAGTCATTAAAAAATATTATAATAATAAACCGCATAATTATTAAACTAATTATATAAAACAGCTTATAAAAAAGTCTAATTAAAAGTCGTCTATTCCCTAGAACCCAGAAAGTATTGAAACAATGGAAAAATATATTTTTTTATGTATAATAACAAAGAAACTGAAATCATGCATAGTTGGTAGCTAAAGACTTCGAAGTACCTAAGAATATTTTTGTATGCATCTTGTATGGCATCGCAAATATTTTTAAATGGAAAGAATTATACAAACACATATTGAATACACAAAACTGACAATTGATTCGTAAACTGAACCGTCGATAACAGAACTCATAAACATTTGTTATATAAGATGTCAATTGTATCCGCGTATAAAAATGTGTGTCTCGTCTGTCATAACTACTCAGAAGAATGTCTCGACCAGGACGTACAAGACTATATTGAAATGCATTTAAATAATGAAACAGTCCCATGGCGCCGCAGTATTGACGATGTATTGGACATTATAATTTTATTCCGCATCGGACAATGGACGAAACTTCCAAGAGTTTTTATGCACAGCGACATACCGACGCATTGTTCAGCGTTTTAACATGGAAATTTAATGTGAATGTAATTCAAATTATGGCACTTACCATTCGATGCTCCTGTATCCTTTGACGCAGCAGTGTATGCTCTTGAACTTGTCCTGGAAGCCGTATTCGTAAGGCACTGGTTCTTTGCTGAAGTGCATCGAGGATGTGTTCGTTGGGAAGGTGTTTGTGGAGCAGTAGCCGGCTGAACGTACCAACGAAGCGCCGGTCACCACACCCAGCGCCACTAGGAACCACATTTTGAATGCACATCCTGTATAATAGAAGTGATAAATCAGTACAGCTTGTTAGAAGTAGTAGATCTTCTGATATAAGTTCTTTTTGAATTAATTAAGGTATCCCTACTAATATGTAATATAAATGCGAAAGTAAATCTGTCTTTCTGTCTGTTACGCTTTCACGCCTAAACCACTGAACTGATTTTAATGAAATTTGGTACAGAAATAGAGTTGACCTTGAGAGGGAACATAGGATAGTTTTTATCCCAGACTTTTGAAAGGTTCCTTGGAAACGCGATATAACCGAAATCCACGCGGGCGAAGCTGCGGGCGGAAAGCTAGTTCTAAATAATTATACATCCTTATACAACATAGACCCGTAAAATTTTTGTCACAGACTTAATCGCAGTCGCTCTCAAACAATTTCATTCATAAACTTCAATCATTTCGAGTGTCACCTGAATACAAACTCGTATTAGGTAAACCAGTAGTACCAAATAAAAACTGGATTTGTGACGTTCACAATTGTTTCACTTTTACATAGAAACAGCTAACCGGTTTATAGATAACAATCGCAATTGAAAGTACTGAGATGACGAAAACGGGATGCTGTGGCCTAGCATAGACGAACCGTCTAAACAATACGCGAGGTCGTACTATCAGGTCGTTGACTGCAATTCAATTCTAAACCAATCTATTCATAATATCACAAAAGATTTATATTAATGAACACAATACGTAATTAGTTATATAATCTCGTAGAATAATTGCATTCCAATTGTATAGAGTTCATAAAATGTATTAATAATTAATGAGTTATTAATTTTATATCTTATAGAATCTAGCTGCAAAGCACAGGTTATACAGGTGTTCTAGTGAAATATTAATAGAGGGAAAAATTATATTTTTTGGACGAATAAAAGTAGGAGTACTCATTCTTTCCTAACACCAAAAACCTTGTGAGAAAAGAAACACCTAAAGCTATTCATCTACCTGCCAAATTATACTTAGCAGAATTCTATGGACCTAAATATAAGTAGATTTTATTGTTACACTTCCTTTTGATATCTACCTTATCTCTTTGTACAGATTCAATACCATAAAAATTATTTTCTTTGTCTACGTTCTCATGACATCATACATTCTTGGATATAATGTTCACGTAGTTGTATCCGTTTATATTGTAAATAAGGTTGTAGGTATTATTAATAATGGTAAATGCGAAAGTCGGTCTGTCTGTGCGAGGTCATAGAATGTCAAAGGGCATATCCAAAGTAGGAAATTATTCAATAGAAACAGAGAACCTATGGGCTATTGTGAGATTAATTGAACAGACAATGAATTAGAATAACATATGTATATACTTACTATGTATATACAAACAAAAAATTGGGTATACATTATAGAATTGATCGTTTGTACCTCAGCAAGCGTAGAGATATTTGTTTTAATGATAATAGTATGAAAAAATAATTTTTGACTGCAACTTCATCTGCGTGGATTGCGGAACTGGCCAAGAGAATAATGTGTATAAAGAGTGTTACAAAATACATATGACAATCAAGCTGTAATGGCTTCATACACTTTTCAACCATTTAACCGTGATCTACGGAAGCTATATTGAATTCTGGGACTAATTGTAGTCTTTGCCTTATCGTAATGCCTCAGTTACATTACGCTAAAGTAAAATTAAAATCCGTTCAGTAGGTTTTATTTCAAAAGGTAACAAACATCAATACATTTATGTAAGATACATTCTGACAAACCTACACATTAAGAGTATTAGTAATATTAATTTTATTTCAGATTAAGAGCCTAAGCTTTAACATTTGATCACGTTTAAGATCTGTCGTAGTAGTACATATTCGAAAATATTTTTTATTTAAGCCCTATTCTTTAAACGAACGAAACCGTATTCTTTCGTTTTCAAAGCCATAGTCGCATACTAGTTCAGTTTAGTCCAAAAACACTTAATTTGATTTAAAAGTATAAAAATTTAGAATGGACAGATATAAAAATAAATTGCAGCACAAGGACCACGAGAACATTAAAGTGACTAAAAAGCGAAATACTAGCCAGTTGCAATGGTTAGGAATGATTGGGCAACGACGGTTACAAAAAACACAACCACAAATGGTCTAGGCATCAAGACAGGATATAGTCAAAGCTTGGGCACGGAGCTGTTGACTAATAACAATGACTTGTGTTCCAGGAAGCTATTCATTTCGCGAGATACCTGGAATCGCTAATGTTTTTACAGCTTATATTTTTTACAATACAGATAGAACAAATTAACTCCGGGAATTAATTTGCTTTTTGTCAATCGTCGCTTCATATGGAGCTTTCTGAATAATTAGTTTAGGATTTCAGTTTAATTGCGTATGACATTAGCAGAAAATCATTTGTATTGCGGTTTGGAATCGCTAAAGAGAATGTTAGTACTATTGTTAGTTGGTGTTATATAAAATATGTGATTTATATTTATAAAGAAGAAATTATTTAGTCATTTATTTTATAGAAGAATTTGAAATAAGTTCGTCTAACAACGTCTATATAAAAATTATATTCTCGAGTACACATTTAGATAAAATTATATTTTTCGTGTATAAGTCGTATGTTTTGTTATTCTACATTTTATGTCACGTTTCGATTACTTTTCAGTAACCGTGATCAGGGAAAATAAAATATATGAATATGTTGAATGTAAATATTTTGTTAGTCAAAATTAATTACTTAATATTCCTTATTAATATTTTTTTATTTAATGTTATCCATCATCTATCTGTAAGGGACTACAAAGAACAAAACAAATAGTTCTTCCCAGCAGTGATATGACTTTAAAACTATATTTTGATTGCTTTGCAATACTTCGGTAGGATAAAACGTGACGTATCCATTAAACATTGTGAAATATGTTAGCTCAGCGACAGTTGATTATAACAGGACCGGCGTGCATTCAATTATGATGTCATACTGTAATCCAAGGTAAATAAGAAATTCGCATATGATAACGCGAAAGACGATATTAGGTATTTATAACGAACGAAACTTAACAGTCTTTAATAAATACGAACTACATTCTGAAACATCTGTCGCAAAAAAAAACTCAAATAATACGTTATTTTTAATGCAATCGTATGATTATTCCAGTGAAAGTACTGTTATCTATATCGCATATGATAATAGTTACAATTGTTTCGCGGAATTTTTAACCTGTCGCAACTTGTTCCTAACCAACTGTGATTAAAAACAATTGGGATGACATATATACTTCGTTTAGACACAAAACTATATTTACAATCGATTTTCATTTTAATACATCCTCAGTTTTTTTCTCCGCGTAAGTATGTTTTTTTTTAAGCGAACACGATTTTCATACATTCGCTGTCCAACTTACGTCCTGTCCTACCTCGCTTGTCATACAAGGAAGCACATACTCATTCCGCTGTGAGACGAGTGATTTTTGCAATTACCGACAGCCGACACACATATCTGTCTGCAATTTACCCCTCCCCTGATCAACTTCTCGGAAAAGCTGTTGCATCAACTGCGTTTAACGCACTAATTACCACGCGTCTCTGTAAGACCCCTCGTACAAAAAATGCTAGCTAGTTTCTCTGCGTAATATGGGAACTTATGTTAGACTTGTTTGTATAGTATGCTTCTCTTATGGTTAGCACTGTGTTTTTATTGCACATAATTGAGACAGAACAGCGACTAAACATGTCTCCAGACATGGCATCAGATCTAGTCGTTTAGAAGGATATTAGGTATAACATTTTTAAATTATTTCACGAATGATTGATTGAATGATTCAAAATATTTATATTTGGAATATAGTCCATGGTGTAAAGGTTTCTTTTTTTTAAAATAAAATATAACAAAAATGAAAAAAGGTTTTAAACGGTCTTCATTACAATGTAAATTTTATTTATATTAATATAAGGTAACAATAACTTTATCATTAAAACAGTCTATTATTTATGTAACAAAGATTGTTTTCATTTAAGACAACAAATAGTTTTCTGGTGTGTATCCGAACTTCTGACTCATACAAGTAAAACTTTTCATTAACAAGTTTGCATAATAAAAGTAATACAGGATAAGATTAATCAGATAATTATATTGTTGAAAAAATTATCAAATATTACTCTCATATAATTAAGACTGAATACAGCTTGAGATCTTTTCTCGGCTAATCCAGATTAAATATAATGTGCTATAACTAAGACAAATAATATCTGAAAGTAATTTTTAATTTAAATATGTAAAAAATATATATATTTTATAAGCAATATCATGGCAGAGAAAATAAAATGCTTCCATAAAAAAAGAAATATTAAAATTTTAAGATTTAAATATGGAACTTATATTTGAAATGTTTATACATGAGTTTACAAATTGGTATTAAATTTATATAAAAGTTATTTAAGTAATTCTGTTTTATATTTAACATGTGTTTGTAAATGATCTGATTTATTTAACAAAATTATAACATTAAAAATTATATCAAATTAGGAACAGTTAAGTTATAAGAAAGTAAAAAAAACATTTGCAATATGTTTTAATTTTCAAAACGATATAATATATCTTTTATAATTATTTTTGTGGAGAGTATTATCATTCATAGATTTTATGAATGGTCTCATTTAATATTGAAACCTTGCTTTTTTCAAATATTCTCATATTAAAACTTAATAAAAGTACTAGTATTACTCACCAATTCCAAAGATGATAAAATCCAAATTTCTTAGAACTCTGACTGCAGAACTTTTTAATATAACTACAAAGGCACAGTTTATTCACACCACATCTTAGACGTTCCTTTTCTAATATAAAATTATGATAATTAAAGTATATTTTCAGTAATAAAAACACAAAGCGCCGATATTATGTACGAAATAATTACTTTCATATCAACCACATGTCTCAAGCATAGTAGCGAAATCGTAACTGACAATAACTGACAATGGCCGGTACAAATGAAGAATCGTGGTCAATGACAGCTGACATTTGTCAAATTGGAAATTTGACATTTAGGAGATTGACATTCACAGTATATTAAAAATAATGTTTTACTTACATAGTCTATGCATTTTATTAAATCTCATTTACCTTTTTATTTCTTAAATTTAAAAATTTAGAATAGATGCTCAAATCAATTTCAATTCATTTTGATCAACAACTTTTAAAAGCAATTTGGAATCTTAAAATTATTTCTGAAACTTTGACAATTCTTAAGGATGTTGCCAACTATAATTGCGTCTCTGTTACACTTTTAAATAAGTTTAATAGTGAAGCTAAGCTATCTCGCATAATGTCATTTACATAAAATTCATATATTTTGTCCCTCTTTTGTTTCATTTTATGTTATAATTTATTAAAAAATATATTTTTAGTTTATGTTCTGAGTTAGTCATTTGGTTTACTTAAAGGAATTCGCTACATTGTAAACACTTAATATGGGACTTATAAAAAGTTTATTAATATATAGATGAGTAAAATGGAAGAGAGCAGACTATTTCCAATGTAATGTATTTTATTTAATTGAATCTTTGCACAGTTACTAACAAAATACTTCAAAAACTTCACTCCAGATATTGTTTGAAATAAAAAACTTACACAATATTATAAATTATATTATCCATCAGTACTTAGTATATTATCATCAATATAGTCTTAGCTCACTTAATCTAATCTTAAATCCATTAATTACGAAAATAAAATGATAATTCTTTGCGTATAAAGATTTATTTTTTCTTTAATTTAGGTGCTGATTTCTTTATGTTTCTCAAGTAACGGAACGTGCCCAAAGCCCGTCGTACCATGACGCCGCGCCACCACGCTTGCACGCGCGTGGCGGCCCGGCGCGAGCGTTCTTCCCTCGCGAGTCTAGCTGCTCTTTCTTTTTTAAATGTCAACCATGATCGCATTTCACCTTCATGGAGGGCAAACTGAAAGATAATATACAGCTTTTGTATGCATTCGTCATTTGTAGGCGACATATTGGTTTATGTAGGTTTCAAAATGTCGTTAAATTTTAAAAAATGTGTATGAGAAATAGTTATAAAAAATTCTCATATTGATTCTCTATATTGTGTAAGACTTTAAATAACTTATTGTAATAATGAAAGATAAAAACAAGTTGCATAGATACCAATTTCTCTAATTCAACACGACGAGCCACAGTGATCCGTAATTTTTCACATTTTTCTCGTAACCGTGATCCTATGTCGACTATGTCTTGAGAGTATTTTGACATCCAGTACTGTAATAAATCTTCTCTTTCCTAACGAAAACATTGGGTTTTAATGTAATTATATTGTTTCTTATAATAAACAGGGCGTTTCGGTTACTTAACATACAAATAATCAGTTGTCATTTAAAGGTATATGCGTAAACCTTAGATATCAATTATATTGAATACTAGTTTTTGCCCGCGACTTCGTCCGCGTTAGTTTGGTCAAGAGTAATATATGTAGGTATAGCTGACCAGGCGAACTCTATTCCGTCTTAGAGGCCATAAATAATCAGGTATTTCCTGTTTCAATCAAACAGAATGACTGACATATTAGTTAGTTGTCAAATCTAATGTCATTAAAAAAACGTTTGTATGGGAAATAGAAAAGGGATGGTTTTAGGGTTTTCCCGGCAATTATTCAAATTTTTCTCACCTTTTAAACCTTCCCTGGACTTTCAGGAGTATTTCAATACTAAAATTAGCCAAATCGGTTCAGCGGTTCTCGAGTTTTAGCGAGACTAAGGAACAGCAATCCATTTTTATATATATAGAAGATTAATCAAAATATTCCACGTATTTAATTATTACTTTAAATCTCCATTAACTCCAATTAGTTTTTTATCCTTTTCATACTGTTCTTTGTTATGTGAAACTTTAAACTACATGATACACAATCGATCTCAACAATGGCGGCACGTGATAGCATGTCAATCAAGATTATGAGCAATAACCTGAATTTGCAGTTCGTATGCCCTGATCAGTTCATTATGAACGCAATCCTCGTGCTCCTTCCTCGGCGCCGGTTCAGACGTGGTCTCCTGTTGTAGTTCAAGAGCCTCGGACCGGGCTGACAGCCACCTGTCCGCGTACATGTGTTGTATTCGCGCGTTGTAGACTCGATCCTTGAATGTTTTTTTTTTATTAAAGTCGAATGCTTAAAATTATACATCCATATTTTAGAAATAACTTTTGTTTTATTACGATAAATCATAATTTGAAACTTATTACAACATGATATATGAATTATTTCTTTATAATATTTAATTTGTTAAATAAGCTATCATTTTGTTTGTGTTACCTTAATCCTATCGCGAAGTATTGCAACTTTGAGATCGCTTTCATTTAGTACTCTTGTCCATTCATTTCGAGATTTTTCCAATTCTGTAACAATTTTCTCTAGAGCACTGAAAATTTTGTATTAATATATTTAAAAAAATCAATAATGTTACTTTTATATTAGTTCAATCCAATAGGATCATACAAACCATTTTAATTCTTCGTGCCGAGATTGTAAAGTTATCAATAAAGTGGATTTCTTCCTTAAAGTTTTCACTCCTTTTAGAAGCGTGCTGTATTCCCCGTTATTTATTAATTCCGAAAGAGTTTTTATAAACAACTCTCTTACCAGTTCACTGTAATATAACATTCTTATTAAAGAACGATATTTAAAATATATATTGCAGAATTATATTTTTCGAAATGTATCTAAGTAAAATAATGTCAAGTGATTATGACTGAATAAGTTCATTTAATTTTTCTATTAAAAATGTTTTTCTTTAAAACATACAACACAGCGCCATCTCGTTTTTCAATCAGAAACTTACCGGTTTTGTGAGAGTTTAGCAAGCAGTTGCTTTTCCCTTTTGCTTTTGATAGTATGGTCGGGAAATTTTCGTTGAGCAGTTGTTTCTGGATGTTTTACGAACACGATAGATGGCGTTAGTATATGTAACATTTATTTCAAATTAACTGATGATGCATTTATGTATGGAATTTATAAAATTATATGGAAGAAAATCATTAACTATATACAGGGTGACTGGTGAATTACTATCAATATTTAACGAGCATACTCAGTACATGATTCTCATTCGAATTATGTAAAAAAAATAGGTACTTAATTTTTGACCAAATTTCCGTATAAATAAATAAAGTGTGTACACGTTCCAAGTGTTCCAAGTGTGTACGCGTGCGGCGGCGTGCTGATACAACAACACGCCGCCGCGCGCGAGTGTGTGTGTGTGTGTGTATACCTAATCTGTAGGGTGTTCACACGATGCGTAATTAATTACATAACTTTTGGTTAACTTTACTTAGAAGTTTATTAATATTTATGTTATATTAATTTTTATTTTGTCATATATGATCGTCAAATATCACGTCCTCAAATATCGATAGTAATTCACCAGTCACCCTGTATTTCAAAAAATAAAAATGCTAAAATGCGAGAAAGTATGGTACAGTTCAAAAATTTAATGAAACTACTTGTAATCATGTTTTTCTCACCTAAAATCTTTATTTGTAGTAACAGAACTTCCAAAGTTATGGCAAACAACCACGCATCCATGGCTGAAATTCTGTAAATTTTATAACTTTAAATCTAATAATTTTAAATAATGTACCTATATAAATATGCAAAAATAACGTAGTTTCATAAAGAGTGAAATTTTCAATCTGAGAACTCTTTTTATTAATCTGTTTCTGTTTTAAGACGATCTCAGAGTAAATAAACTTTACTTAATATATCAAAATAGAAACCACCTTCTATTAATGATGATTATCTGCATACATCGTATATAAAACTTTTTTGCAACATTCAAAGTTATAAACGTTTGAAAATAAAAACTTTGTTAAAAAAATATATATACAATTAAATTATTTACTAAAAGACAAATTCAAATCGAAGTACAATTTAGTTTCTCAAAATTGTCACTGGGGATCATGAGAGTTAAACCAAAAGATACCTAAAGTTAGTGTTTGCCGTCAAAGCTGGACTTAAAGTATTGATTATAACATAAATATTGAATAAAAATTAAAAGTAAATATACAAAATAAATGGAAAATAAATATTACAATTAATTCCATATAGATAAAACAAAAATTATTCAATTATTGTTTTTGAAACATGATTTTTATTTTCGCGCGCTACAGATTATACATAAACGATGTACCGATATTTCACAAAGTGTTACAGAGTATAACGCTGTGGATCTTGTGTGTGACAGCCTCTGATTAGACGAGCTCTGTGTCAGAGAGCGTCAATTTATATCTCTCGATCTTAAACGAAGATCAAAGAGCCACTGGAATTTACAATTCAAAATAAAATCCCCCTGAGCTTTACATAGTTGATTCCGTTAAATCTATTTGATACTATCGATTATATTTCGTCAAAATCCTTTCTGTTTGTTAATTTCTATAGAATATTTAAATGAAACTAATATTTTTATATGTACTACGCTTGCTTTATTTTTGTAAAAAACTTCATACTCCCGACGTTTTGGCTACTTTTCAGCAACCGTGATCGCGGGCAGACGAAAAATATTACTGTCATTTAAATGAATAAAACTCGCGAAAGTTTTAGAAATTCTATAAAATATTAGTAAAACATACTATTTAGTAGAAAAATAACATATTTTCAATAACATACACACTAAACGTTACAGGCATATATTATTGTTATTGTTATAAACAAAAGGAGGATAAATACTCGTTTGATTTAACAGTTAACAATGACGAAACACGACAAAACGTTTTAGAAATACGTTTTACATAGATTCATATTTGAAAGAAACTAAAATATAAAATGCAATAATTATTGAAACACCAAAATATAATTGAATTTATTTAAATTATATTTCAAGTCAAATGGTTATATGTTATGTTAATAAAGATAGTTGGCATAAAAATAAATTAATTTACATTATAAGAGTAAAAACATTTTGAATAATTTCCGTAGCAGACAAACCCGTCAGCAGATGGTATTGTGATGCAAAGTTCAAAGTTTACAAGACAACAAAAAAGGCATAGCATTGTTCACTTATATATTCATTATATTTAGGAACGAACGTTAATTAACATAAAGAGGTAGTTTTAATATAATTACATTTTTATCAAGCGAATGAAATACGCTTAGGAGTTTTATTTATTTACAACAGTCCAAGCTTCTCTGTGTGAAAACAAACTGCAAGTAATTTACTTCATATTAAATTATTATTTATATTCGTATTGAAAAATATGTTTAATGAAAATAACTCACCGATAATTGGTATCCATAGAGCTTCTTTGACCGTATAATTTGATATTTTCCTAACAATATTTCGCACATAGTGCCATTGCTAAGCAACCTCTGGTATTTGATCAATTAATACAAGCCTTATAGATAACGCTTTTGAAACTCAAAATCATTATTACATGGACACAATACGTGGTGAGTCAAATGCTTTGACTAAGGCTTTATACGTTATATGATACTTACATATATTATATTTTCATACAGCTATTCTAATTATAATATTTATAATATTAAGATGCTAGTCAGAAATTTTACGATATTTAATAAATTTAATGAGATCTGAGATTTTCGCGAATCATTTAAATGAAACTAATATTTTGTTGATATACTACGCGACTTTATTTTTAATAACAACTACATACTCCCGATTCGTTATTCAATTGTTAAATGAAGAAAATAAATAAAAAGTTAAATAGAATACAAAATACAGTTGAATAATTTAAATTTAAAAAAAAACAGTTTTAAAATACAGTTTTTTTCTATTACAGGACCTATTATGTGCAAGTGTAAACATTTTCACAAATGTTTGAATAGTTTTTATCTGTTCTCATTGAAACTTCTGAAGCGGACGTAGGTGTTACTTTGTATAGTAAATTTAAATAAATAAAAAGCTTTTAATAGTTTGAAGTCTTTTTTTGGGTAAATGTTCTGTTAAATTGAATCATTTGATTAAAATAAAATGTATGAAGAAATGAAAATTTATTATTGTAAAAACTACATACTCCCGACGATTCGGTTACTTTACAGCAACCGTGACCACGGTCAGACGAGATGCTAATCCTAATAATCCAAAGCGTGGTGAATATTTCATGGCATTCTTTGTTAATACTTTATGGTATATATATTTTTATTAATATTTTTAAGTATGTATACTCTCAATGGTCAGTGGTGGACTAGTGGTTAGAGGGCCCGCCGCTCGTTGCCGAGGGCGCGGGTCCGATCCTGGCCCGGGCAAGTACCAATGTGATTTTTCCGAGTCATACGTACTTTCTTAGAATATTTAGACATCACTGATTAATGCTGATTCCCAAAAGAGGGTTGATGTCAGGCAGGCGGCCGGTCGTAAAAACAATTAGCCAAAACTATTCACAACATGTAAGGCAGACCCTAGCTATAGCCGGGAAATTGCCAGGTAGAAGAAGATACTCTCAAAGTAACAACCATAAAAGAGTCGTATAGGTTACAGTCTTGGAAGCTTCGAGATACAAATCACGCATAAAACAGAGTATTGAATACTTTTATTTTTATTAAAAAATATAGATTATAGATAATCCAGGCAAGTCTTGTAAATAATTACATATAATAACATAGTTTATTTATTACAAAAGTTTAATTTATTTCATATGTTAACACAAATTGAGGTAACTAACTCTTTGCCATGCGCTTAAATGAGTTTTTTAATTTTGTAACTTTAATGTGAAAGTAAAATTCATGGTAAAGCGAACTGTAGTGACAATAAATGAATTTGTGTAAAAGGAAAAAGAGCGGGCAGAATTTTAGGAACAAATTTTTATGTAAAAAAAAGAATGGTTTTGAGGATAATGTAGAAATTCTAATCTTTCTTTTACGTAATATGGAAGTATTAAAGAGGAAAGCAATGACAGGAGAAGATGTGAATATACCTGCAGACACTAGAATTTTATTCAAAAATTTGATGGAATAAGTCCAAAGACAAACCTAATGCAAAGATATTGACCTAGCTTTTGTTTGTTTTAAAGGGATTAGCAGTGAAATAAACAAAATAAAAATAAGTGCAATTTCAAACACAAGAAAAGAGTTTAGGACCAACAAACAAAATTACTCGAGTCTTGCTAGGTTTTATTTTAAAGTCGAAACATTTACTCCATTCAGAAATATGCTGCACGTCTTCTATGCCCACACCCATAGTATTGAAATTGTCAGTAAGATTAAAATGCCGATATATTAGAAAATTGTTAGCATACAGGTGGTAGAAAAGAGAAATGTGAGAGCAAATACTGTTGATAAACAGATAATAAATGAGAACAACACAGACATTCTTTAGAGATTGAAATGACGTATGCTTCTATATATTATTTTGACTATAAATTTGTTTATAAAGCCTCAATTAAATTGGTGCAGCAGCTATTGATAAACTATAATTAGGTAAATGAAATATGATAATAATACAAAACTTATAATAAGATGCTTAATACGATACAAAACATAATATATTTCTATACACCCTATTGCAGAGGTTTCGACAACTTACATAAAAATGCTTGTTTTTATAACATACACTGTTTGGTAGCTTACTTTAGCTTAAAGATCATATCTCATTGAGCTGTTACTTCTTAATGTCGTCAGATGACCTGAAAGCAGGAAGATGCTTTCTACGGATCGTAGGAACTAGTGAGTGAATATAATAAAGTTGTTTTAAAACTCACAAGAGGATTGTGAACAGCAACATAACAGACAATAGTTTCATGACTCGTCTTTCAAACTAGTTAATGTTGAATCTGTTTCAGCTTATTTACATCAAAGTTGCATTAAAATTAGTTTTAGATCTAAATTAAGTCGCTGCTGTCTTATAGGACAGGTAAAGAAGATCATCACTTGGAGTGAACCCTCGGGGTGGGAGGTGGCCGTTCGCGGCCCGCCGTCGGATCGTCGCGGATGCATGCTACGGCGATTCCCGTGGTTTT